AGTTATTTAGGACATGTAAGAATACAAATTATCCTCTTTTTCGGTATTATGGACCCACAAACCCCATTTTTTAATTTTTTCTGTAGCATTACAATAATTTTGTACTGCAAGTAGATAAGTAGAATGCGAGGAAGTGAAAATGCTTTAGTAGTAACTACGACAAGTAAGTGAATCACAAGAAGCCGCATTTAATTGGCTGTCCGGGTGACGCCGCGTCCATGGCAAAGGTGCCGACGTTTCGGTCGCCATTCTGCGACCTTTCTCAGAGCGTAATGCCGGCCCTGAGGAAGGTCGCAGAATAGCGACCGAAACGTCAGCACCTTCGCCATGGACGCGGCGTCACCCGGACAGCCAAGTAAATACTGACTCCGGCCGCGGAAGCCTACGCTCTCACGAGAAGCCGTGTTTGTATTTTGGTGTAAAATGCAATAGAAATTTTGCACTGACTTACGTGAATATTATTTTGTATTGATCACAGAGGCTGATTGCCACAGTCACCGTCAATTTCAAAATGCGCGATCAAAGCGACTTTTTATCTGCGAAATAGGCGATTTTGTTTGCACAGTTAATATGAACCAATTCTCTTAACACATATAATTTTTTTTAAATCAGAACCCATCATGCAGCGTTTTCCTCGCGTATTCCATTTATTCATTTGCGTTAGGAATTTTTCAAAAACCTACTTTTGTTGAGAAAGGTATTATTGGTCAAATGGGGAGGTGAGGAAGGTGAGTGGTCGTGTAGACCTCATCGAATATCGCGAGGAATCCTACCATTAATAATTCGACAGTCTACGTCCGTCTAGTAGTAAACGTCTTTGCGTTCACAATTTGGGGTAAATGAAATTTCATTCGCCCCAACCCTGTCTACTGGTAGGAAAATAATAAACGAGAATGAAGTGGAATGGGTCAGTGAGGTTTTCAACCACACGGACAGGATAGAGGACGTTGAAGTCTGTAGGAAGATGAGTTCGATGGCCCTTGTTGCGGGTAATGGAGATTGCAGGGGTACTGGGAAGAGCAGACACATAGAGGTTGGTACATGCAACATGTATGTATGTCAGAGTTGCTTTGTTTACGAGAACCAGTGGAATTGGCCGAATGGAGACAAGATGTGAAGGCGTTAAAGTCTAGATAAGGGGAAGATTGGGTATTGAAGAAAGTGTCAAAACGGCAGAGTAACATAGAAGGAGAGGATTGTGTTTGACCTGGCTTACAAACAGAGACGAGGGAGTTGTCGATGCGAATTGGCGGGGGAAGAGGAAGCCAGGGATTGCTGTCCCCTAGAGAGTTTGGTTTCCTTCAAAAACTCAAAATCATTCATCAAAACCTCACAAAATGGTTTTGCAAACAGTAGCACGCACACTGCTCAAGAGCAACAAATAAAGTACTCTCGTATAACACTAAAATAGGTTAACTATTTTAAAAACAGTCTTCATGAATTCTGTATTAACTTATTAAACAATATACGGATACACATTACATCAGTTGTATGCACATCAAGAATATCAAAAACTTTGCTGTTACATAATCCAATACATTAATACTACATATTTAATGGAAGCCGACCACTTTATTGGGGCTTAGCTGTGACATGACGTCCACTGTTTCGTAATACGTGACGCACTGAGAATTAGAATTCAGTCGGTTCGGGGAAATAGGCGGTATAACACAATCCAATATTTACATATTTCAGTCAACATCGAAATATCGTTTCATTGTTTGTGTATTTTTCCCAAGTTCCAAGGTATCTAACAAAAACCCATACACACTTCTTAAGAGGTTGAAGGCTGCGTAGTTTTCTCTGAATTCCTACACACATTGAAAATTACTAACATCCCCATTTGTCCCATATTTATACACATTAACAAGATTCTTATCAAAGAAATGAGACAAGTGAAAACTGCTACGAGACCATTCGGAGGATTTATTGTGCAGCGCTAGTGAAAATGGTCTTCGTTTTACTTGTTAATTAGTCGATTCGCTCCAACTCCTGGAGTTATGAACGTGCCTTCGTGGAGGTAATCGCCAATGCGTACCTTGCGTATATGTGTTATTCTCACCCAGACTGAAGGTCTTAAATGGATGATTGAGGCTTGTATATTTATTGAAATTCATTTATTACAAATGTGCTTAAAGAGATAGTTTATATACCAGCTATGTTTGTAATTTTTTAATGGTGAAAAAATAGTAATGTTTATCACTTTTGAATGCTCCCAGGCCTTACTTTTAGACACATCATCGCAGATAAGTTACACTTGCACGGTATGTGGAAAATATCAAAACAGTATGATCCGCTTTTTTGTAAGAAACATTATACAATAGTCATTTAAAAACCACATGAAGGGTATAGGACAAAAAAAATGAAAAGTCCTCTTTTGAAGCAATTATAGGCTTAAAAATTATTGTACTGGAGGGATCGAGAGCAGATATTTATAGCATCGATACATTTTTTACATATGAATTTACATTTTCAAGTTTTCTCAACGTAGAGAAATGTGGAAAATAATTTAGGAGTACTCATGGTTCTCAGGAATATTATGAATTACCAACAAAAAAAAAGTAAATCAAAGAACTTTAGTTTTTCCCAAAATCTTTTTTGTTAACATTTGTTGTACTCATACAATGCTGGCACAAAGCAAAAAAACAAACCGTCAGAATATGACATTTAAACCATTTTTTGAGCCGCCAATTTTAATAGTTTTTATGCTGCTGAAGTATACAGAATAATGGACACAAACTAATGCAGTTAACAATAGTTTTATTGTTGCGGAAGGTACATTTTTTCCTGTAGCTCAACTCTAACAGTAGATTTGCCACCCAGAAAACCAGTAGAAAATGCCAAATCCACTCCACCCTCCACAATAATGGTTAACCAAATAATGTCCTAAGTCAAAGCCAAAGTCTCAATATTTCCAACAACGTGATTGTTTAATTGATTGTTAGTGATACCGAGCGCGTCAACTACTAGGGTCAAGCTCAAAGAACCCGACCGGCCTCCCGGCAAATGTGGTAGTGTACCGTATGTTAGTGTGTGTGTGTGTAAGAGGAGAGGATAGGACAAGGTATAGAGAAAAAAGATCACGCTCAGTCTGAATCCTGCTTGTTAGGGTACTGCTCCGGCTTTCGCCTAGCACGGAAAACTCCCGATCAGAGCAGCCGGCCGCTAGAATTTTCCTCCAGACAGCGACTGAATTCGACCTAGCTCACAATCTATCCAGCAGAACAGTCCAGGTACGTAACTATACCTGCGTCAACAACGTCTCACAAACAAACCACGAACTACAACACTACTTATCACACTTTCTCGTCTCACTCTTATCCCGACGCTGCTGTTGTCCCTGAAGCTCGCGCCCGAGCTCCCCGTTGCGGCTGCGCGCGTCACGCTTATGGGATGTCTCCGGGTATCCACCGAGCACGCGCTGCCCATATGCGCACGTGACTGATTAAATTAGCCGCAACGTTCATAACAGCTCCCAATAGGAAGACCTGTTGCGTGAATTTGGGAGATGGTTTGATCTTACTATATCAGAATTACTGGAGGAAGCTCAATTTTGCAAATATTACTTTCTTAAATGTCAATAAATCATAATAATATATTTACTGGTATTATATTGATTGAAGTTTTATTTTTACCACTGTCTTATACTTCTCATTTATATCACACTCATGTTGCTTAGAGAAAGCGATACAAACCCGAAATTACATTGCCTACAACTAAAATGAAACGTTAAAAAGCAAAGTGTCCATAAGAGCTTGAGTACAATTAAGTTTGCGGAAAACAAGAAACAATACAAATTTGTCCATTTATTCAGGAACGTTTTGGTTTTATTTAGCTTTCGGAGACTCATAAACCCCTTTAAAACTCTATGGTGGACCCTCATGAAACTAAATGCTTCAAATAGCATATTCAAATCATCTATTTGTTATGAATTGATTAATCTGTTTTAGCGGGGGAAAAATCATCCTAGTTTGGCAATCTGACGTTCCCATTTCAACGTTGCGTGGGAAAGAGGGAAAAAGTGTGCCAGATAAAAACATGTTAACTACATTGAATGCAATTTTGAAAAAAGGGCTTCAACAATCAGGATTAAAAACCATATGAAACTAGAACAATTCGTAAATTGAATTTCGGTAGTCGCTGTTACAAATAATATTATATGAGTAAATATAAAACGCCCACTTCAATATCATGAATATGTATTTGACTAAGATATTCTGTTTTTCTAATGCTTTATACAAGAGTTTTTACACAAGGATAAATTAATAAAGTTTAACACAAAATGTTACGTATCTGCAATCTGAAAGTAAATTTGGAGGGCGCAAGGAAACGCAAAAAGGAAGAAAAATATATTCTCTGGTACTTGAAAAAAAGGTTTCCTCTACTGTATGAAAGTACAATTAGGCGTTCATTACTATCATGGGACTCACTTCAATTTTCAATTATATAATAAGTTTTTCAATTTGTAAATAATTACCTTCCAAAATAAATTACTACTTACACGAGCATGTAACTTGAATTGCTTTAATTGAATAGGTGTTGAAGGAAGCGTCCTATGGAAGAGCAAAAAGAATTATTCTATGCTCGTAATAATAATAGTGATAAAGAGACACATTTATTTCGCTCATACTAGTGTTGAAGTTATTTCGTAATACATTTCAATTACTGTTTGGATATAAAATTAACTTGTTTATGAACTATGATACCTGTAAGTGAAATTTATTGGCCAAAGATCATTTGCTAAATTTGTTCATTACATTTGTGGTACTAATCGTTCTGTAATGAACTTGACCAGTTAATAATATTCACGGAGTGAAGTCTCATGTTTGGCAACGCAGCGCCGAATAAATTATCCCGGAATTACCTCTTCCTTGGGTTCGTTATTTTGTGAAAACTCGATCTCCGCGAATTAGCATCTCATTTGCAAAACGGGTTGAACTCGCCCTCCCCGGCACCGCAAACCGGCTCGCCAGGCCGCTCGGAATCGAGCTGGCAGAGCCATCTATGCGCGGAGTGCAGCACTGGAGGGCCGGCCATGTTGGAACGACGGCAGAGGCCCCTAGCGGATCGATGGGCGACGCGGCCGACATTCCGTGAGCGAGCCGGCCGTGTTGGCGTCGCGTTGGCTGCGCGGTTGTACCGTCGTTTCCTGCAGCGTTGAGCTGCGTGGCACTTCTTCCCTCCCCCCAGAACCGCTCCGCCCGCCGCCCGGACCGCAGTGCCTGCACGTCGTTACCGAGACCTGGAGCTTCGCCCGCATCGTCCTCCCGCGCCTACTTCTTCGCACTCAACGCAACTGCTTCACCATGGTGCAGGCTTCCACGTACGGCAAGGCGATCGTGTTTACGTGCACGGTGGGCATCGCCCTGTGCGTGTACGCGTTCGTCGTGGAAGAGAGGAAGTCGCAGGATGCGAAATACCAGGCCGTATGCGATCTCAGCGAGCACATGAGCTGCTCTCGTGTGCTCACGTCGCCGTAAGTACCTCTCGCTATTCTTTCCAAGCGTTTTGTGCTCTTAGATTCTGCGCTATTGCGTAAATTTTCTGCGTGTAAGACGTAGTAGTTTTCCACCTGAGGCACAAAAAATGCTGCTTACATGTACACGTTCTCCTGCCTCAGAACGTTATATCAGCTTATGACTTAAAATATTCATATTTTTGCAAGTACATTACATAACAATAATGTTGTTTCAAAAATAATTTTAATTTATAGTTTTATTGGAGTTCCACGTTGCCTTCCTGTTCACATGTTTTCATTCAGAAATTTCTTTTTTAAACTACTATTTAAAATCTTGCCATACAGAAAATAAAAAAGAAGTAGAATGAATTAATTATTAAAGTAATGCACGATTTAGTGGAGAAAGTTGCCAAAGGGTGCAGGCGGGGTGTTCCATCTGCTTGGAAGCCCGCTGAGCAGCGTGGCGAGGGAGGCAATGTAGGTCGCTGCAACGGTGCTGGCAGGAGGCGTAGCGGTATTTAACGGCCCCTTGCTTGCAGGTACGCCAAGGGCTTCGGGCTGGTGCGCCACGTCCTAGGCGAGGACTCGCCGCTGAACGTGCCCAACAGCATCCCCGGGGGTGTGATGTTCACGCTCTTCGCCCTGCTCTGTAAGTATACCTCCCTTCGCCTCACCTCCCTGCCTTGCTACCTCCCTTCGTCCCCCCTGCCCCGCTAGCGGCCGCCGACCGGAAGCGGCGCGGGACCGCCCTCAGCTGGTGGCGGCGGCGGTGGCGGCGGTGACGTAAATAGGAGGGCGGGACTGGAGGGACATTTTTAGAAGCGGTGGTTTTTCTATCTTTCGTCTTTGAACGTTCCCAAAATATTCACATATGCCACTCCGTTTTTTACTCTTATATCAAATATGATTTTTTTAAATCGATACGGTTCCGTTTTTAATTATGGTTTTCATATCCCCTTCTTTTTCTTTATTTCATCTAATTTCTTAGAAAGGGTGGGAAGGTAGGTGGGAAGTAGCCCCTGGCAAAGCAGGTTGTAATCCCACGACTGGGTGGCAGCCCTACTTTCCGACAGGTTCCGCGATGTAATTTTGCAGAGCTGGATCGAGGGGACGGAAAGGGGGCAGTTAAATGCATCGATCCCTCTCGTATCACAGGTAGTAGCCGAACAGTTGGATGTGTTTCTGTTTCCTAATGTTTGAAAACAACTTGCTCTTCTCAGGATACGTTTGGTTTTTTGACTCTGAACCCTCAATTTTCCACGGTCTTTGAAAGATGGCAAGAGTTTCGAAGTGTAATGGTGAAAGGCAGAAATAACGGTAGGGTAACGGGAATATCAGTTCGGACATATGCTTTCCTCCCCTTTCTTCTGTTAATTATCGAACGGCCTGAAATTCTGGAATTTATTTGGAAATGGCTTGAATTTTATTCAGTAAGGCTGGTGTAACCATTTCTTCTTAAATATTCTTACTAAACAATAAACTTATAAAACAATAGCTGCCCTTTATTCTAAAAAAAAATGTGATAAACCAAGATTTGTGCGTAATTATTTGATTTGTTCCCATCATAATGAATTACGGATAGAGAAAGCAGTATTTCAAAAGAATTCGTCTGCTCTTGCTGCTCTTGTATCGTAATGCAGGAAAGAGATAAAATTCATTTGTGTAATCGTAAACGGTTGCCATTATCTCCTGTTGACTTGTAATCGGCTTGCAAGAGAGGGGAATGGAAAGTCTTCATTTCCTCTCCACCGGAGAATTTCATCATTTGCTGTTAACTCAAATTTATCTCTACCAGTTATACTCTTCAGAAATGCTAACATAGGTCTAAAGGTCAGAAAACTGCATTGAATCGAATTGTATTGAGATTCGTTGAGATGCGAATCGTATCGAGACTAACAATTTCATTTTCGAAAATAAAGAAATAAAATCAAACAAAATAATTGTGGCTCACACAAACCCGTATTTTACATTACAAAGTAAAATATTCTGTAAAGAATATGCTAGCGAGAATTAGGAAATGGTGACGGTTTATATTTATTTTAGCAATTTTATTATCAAGTTCTAAGAACAAAAAGATATGGTAGTGAAATTTAAAATTTCTTTGTCGCAAAAATTAAAACGAGACAATTTTTTTTTCGTGTTGCAGGTTTTCTCCAGAGAGCGTGGACCGCGAGGATTCAATTGGTGCTGGGCATTTTGTCTAACATCAGCTCAGTCTACCTGGGCTCCATCCTCTACTTCGTGCTGCAAGACTTCTGCGTCATCTGTGTGTCTGTGTACGCCATCAACTTCATCAACCTGGTCCTGGCCTTCCTGCGCCTCAGGGCGTTGACCTCTAAGCCAGTGGGCAAGCAGAAGGGCCAGCAGAAGTCGCAGAAGGGCCAGAAGGGAGGCAAGCAGCAGCAAAACGACAAGCAGAAGTCTCCGCAGGCGGAGAAGAAGAAGGAAAAGCAGAAATCGCCGCAGGCGGAGAAGCAGAAGCAAAACCAGCAGAACGGTAAGGTCAAGAACCAGCAGAACGACAAGCAGAAGAGCCCGAAGACGCCTAACAGCAAGAAGAAGAATTAGCACTTTCATTCTGAAACGTCTGCGCTTTGGTCCACAGTTGTTGAGAATTGTTGTGAAGCAGACTATGTTGTGATGTTGTTTAGGGGCATCTTTCTCAGACAACTAAAAAGTAAAATCGTACACAAGATGCACTGTTGCGCGAACCTTGTGATGGTGAATGTAATTTGCTTCAAATGATGCGAGAAGAACATTCTATGACCTAAACGCTATGAACTCAGATAATGCTGTTCCCCAAGTGATAGCTTCGCGAATTTTTTGGAACTCTCCGTATTTTTCTGACATGATATATTGCTTTGTGTGGTTTTTTTATAAGAAAGTTTCAAGAAAATATTTAAAAATGTTTTCACTTGGCTGAGGTTATTATATAGTTTGTGTGTTGTTAAATTCAGAACTAGTCATGTACACAAAGGTGTGTGCTGCATTTTTGGGACATAGTGGCATATAAAATTTAGGAATTTTTTATCCTCCAATATAACTGATATGAGGGAGAGGAATTAACTGCATGCTTGTGTGCTATCACACTGTTCTAATCATGTTTTCAGGGACATTATGTAGGAGGTAAAATGTATCAGATATCTCAAAGTGCAATCATACTAGTAGTTATTTTAATGGAAAGTATGCAAAGTACATACTTACATTTTTGAAAGCCCAAGTAAAAAAATCAATTAATTGAATTAAAAGAAATTGGCTCACTTTTTAATTATTTATGTAGGATATATAACTATTCAGTTCATTAAACATTCCAGAGAACAGCAGAAGCTGAATTTGTTAAGTGTGTATTGAAGATATTAATACTATTATTATTCTTGAGTGAGAGTTGCTTGTTAACTATTTTGTATTCTTCATTATGGTTTATATTTACAAAAGCTCTATCACATTTAGAAGTTGTTGATTTGTTATTTTCTTTTTTTGTGGAATAATTATTCAGTGTCTCCCTTGTAATTATTATTTCGTATAAATGCATTTCATGAGATTTTATAAAATGTCGACAAATATTTTCAGGAGATATATATATTTTTGTAATGCCTTGATTTTTATGAATAGACCCTTAAACAATGTAATGTAAAAAAGTAACAATTTTATACAAACTGTTGAGATAGAGCCAGAGTTCACGAAGATAAATAAACGAAAACAATGTTTTAAACGCCTCTGATTAAAACGCACTGCCCTTAGCTCTAGCGCGGTAGGACGCTTTGGACGCACGCAGCAGGCGAGTATCGATCCCGGGGCCTTGGCTCGAGTATTGATTCGAGCCTGACCTTCATTCCGCACGCCGACACGTGGCCGTTGAACTCGGACGGCGTACGTGTTGGAAGCACGGTGGCGCAGATAGTTCAGTGCATCGCCGACAGATGTCAGCACGGAGTTCGTCGGCGGTGGCGCGCTCTCACGAGCTTCGTGCGTAATAACGTCGCAGTGGAGCAGGGGGTTTCTAGGTCATGACGACGCCATATGCTGCGAACGACGCGGGAATGGAGTAGAGAGGGTGAAAGGCCGAGAAAGTCCGCGAGCTGATGCTGTGTCAGCCGTACTGTGGAAGGGTCATGGGTGCAGAGATATGAGGTTATTTAACAGCTGGCGGTCTGATAGCTCTTGTTTGTAAGGGTTATCTTATCGATTGACTTCAACGTGGCTGCCTGACTAGGCTTGCGTTGACATAAAGTTATTTCACGCTCAATTCTTATGTTGCAACGGCATTTCTTCCAATATCTTGGAATACGTTCCATCCCTTAAGGATGAACTTGGAATTAAAGAATATTTGCCAGTATGTTAAACAGTAACATTGTACCGAAAGGCGTATCGATTGGTATCTCTTGTAGAACTTCCGATAGTTTCAATAGAATTTTATGCACCAATGGAATAAAAAATATTCTTTAATTCCACTTTATTTTGCGGAATGTTAACAATTAATTGTAAAGAAACGTAAAATGGCAGTTTCCGGAGCCTAAAATTCTGGACATTGAGTCATGTGAAATTGTCTATATTTCAGTAATTTATTTTGCTCTAATATCAAAAATATTTTCATAACCTTAATTTATATTGGGAAAATTTACCCTCTGAAGTAACCTTTCTCTTTGTAATGAGGTTGATTTGATCTAACAACTAATGTAAACAAAGTTTTACAAATCTCTTCTTTCAAATCTTGCCAAAACATTTTAACATTTAAAAGGCAATAATTTAGGTTTACATAATGACATTGACTGTTAAAAGCAAATGTGAAATGGATATGTAGAAATGTTGCAATGTTTCATTACTTCCATTGAACCTTCAACCGCCAATCTTTTCTTTTCCTTTGTATTCACACACACTAAAGGCGACCCTTGTGTGAGTGCGTCGTTTCTAGAAGGATATGAAAATTCTGTCCTCTACCTTTCTTAAGCAATTTCTAAAGTACTGGAAAATGGCAGGTGCAAGAACACGTCTAATGACCTGAATCTCGCCATTCACAAATACAATGTATTATGATTATTGTTATTATTAGTATTAATATTTCAATTGTAATTGTTTTTTTTCGAACGCTAGAACATGATTTGTTCAGTTTTTATTATTTCATTTGAAAGTATACAATATAGTATTGGAAATTGAATGTCAAGTTTTTGGGATATGGGATGATATTGACATTTAGACATTTTTCTTTAAATTTATTGCCAGCCATTATTGTAAAATAACTTAAAAATTGAAATATATAAAATTAGTCACCAAGACTCGACATAATTGAATGAAAGATTGATGTGAATTCAAAGCAAGGAATAATTTATCAAAGAGTCTCACAATTATTTTATTGTGAAACTAATAACCGTACTCGGGGACTTTTGTTATCACTCTGAGACACCGATAATTATCGTAGGTAATACCACAAGTGTTTTGGAAATTGTCTATAAATCCCCGACTTGCGAAACGACGAGGGGATTTATCTGAGGATTTCCAAAGCATGAGTGGTATTTAAAAAGACTATGCCACGAATGAAATTATGTTCAACGTTCCTAAAAGTCGCCAAATATTGAAAGGAACTGAAAGCTATGTTAAAAGCAAAGAGGTTATATTATAATACATACGCGGTTTATTGGACTTCTACATAGCAATCTATATATACCGCTTCGTAAGGTAGATGAAGAACAGTTTATGATTGACCAGTAGGGAGAAATGGTAAGAAAAATTGGACAGAAAAATCGATAAACATTTTGAGATAAACCCCCCTGATTGGGACATTTTGTATGTGTAGTTAAATGTTATTGGTTTTAATTTAACAAGTGAAATAGTTAAAGAAAAATAAGGATTCTTTAATTATGGTTTAATAACTGCTTCTGGTTTCATCAAAGGATCCCATTAATGTAAATCTCATACTCATAATTAGGAGGCGGATTTTAAAGAAGTTTAAGTTTATGTTATGACAAAAGCAAATTACCCATTTTTATTTTTGCATTTTTCGTCGATTTCGACTAATAAGTCATTTTTTTACAGCTTTCCGCCATTTTTACCGATTTTGTCGATTTTAATACACTTGTAATAGTATTTGCAAAAAATAATATTTACGAGATGCAACAAATGTTGTCCACAGAAATACTCAATAACCTATTCGATTTATTCGCTCATAAATAGTAAAGTCAGCTGTAAGTAAGTAGTCTAACGTTCCTGCGACGCCTATCAGCGCCATTTTCGGGTCAGTCGATTTCAGAATAACTAAAAGACAGATTTACTGGTAAAAAACAGTCCTATACAATCGTTTGCAAGCTGACTTCACTTGAACGAAAGGATGAAGCTTCGATTACTCAATAACATATCCAACAACTTGAGTTGTTCATCCGAACTCGTTTTGATCAAAGTTTTTACATCATTTTTCCTTCCTTTGGGGCATTTTAAAAACATTTTAAGAACATTTCATTGATAATGTTTGGTGATGTTTTAGGTCATCAAAATCCACCCCTTCTCACAATACATATGGAAATCAACTGACCTGTGTTGAATGCACAACTTGCCGCACGTTGCAATATTTCTAATGCCTACAGTATTGCGGCGGTTGTTGGAGGTTGAGACATTTTAAAATATTATGTCGTCTTCTGCCTGTCCAGCAGACGTAGTGATGTTTTCGTCCACAGGATTTAGGATGCGTTACCGAATGTTTCCTGTTGTAGAAGGTGGTCGAGTGCACAGAATTTCGTCACGCCAATAGCCAATAGTATTTGCTTAGTCTTTCGCGAGTCGCAACCCATGAAGGCTCAACACAAAATAATAATAATAATAATAATAATAATAATAATAATAATACAAAACGAAGTCTGATAACAATAAACAATTTTTTCTTACTGTTGTAGTATTAGTCCATGCGGAACAATATAAGAATGATAACATTAAGTAAATTAGATAGCTTAACCGTAAATAAATAAGCGAGATTCACTTTATTTGTTTCTTTTTACACTAAAATATCTCTAGATTATATTTCTCAGGAATCGAATAACTCTAATCACCCTACTGACAAGAGAATCAGAAGGACCTATCCTATTTCAGTTTCTGACTTGAAAGAGAAAATCAGTCGCAGGCATTGATGGCGTCTACTACTCAAGTAGTCAGAGATTGACAGATAATAAAAAATAGTATCTTTGACAATAATTTAAAAAATGGTGAAATTAAATTTTTGCACGATTCCAACATGAAGAAATTACTAGAAGTTAATGAAGGGCAAATACGAGAACAAAAGCTGGCTTCAGCACATGCATAGACTCCCCTTTGGATTACGGGTTCCCAAAATTTTTCAACAACGAAATATATAAGTTCATAAATACGATAAAATGATTTCTATGTTATTAACAATAAACCGAAATAATGAATTGAATCTAGACTTTACAAGGTAGAAAGGTATTCCCTTCAAAAATAAAAATTATTTTAAAATACATGTAATAAATAGAAGCTGTTGATAAGCCCTGGCTCGTTCGCTGGGTACAGACAGACATGCAATAAATAAGACCTTGCACATGATATTTCTTTGAATATTAAATTCGTAAATTGAAACGTACAAGTTTCATTTTTACATTGATTTTGTTTACATGTTATGTTCAATATTTCAATATCATTGAGAGGTTCTTAGTTTGGCCGTGCTTAGGGTCCCTGAAGATATTAATCCGGCCCGGCCAAGAGAGACAACGAAATATGCCCTGCGTCGCCGACCTTACATGAAACCGTTTGCTCCCCACTCGCTACCGCCGTTTGCTACCCACTCTGCGGGCACCGCACGGGGCAGCGCGGCAACGCGGTTTACGGGTCTCGCGGGAGTATTTTATCTCGCGGAAGTCTGCGCCCCGCCTCTACCTCCTCGCCCGCATCGCCCCTCCTCGCAAGGCTCCGCTTCACCCCCCGCCCCGCCCACCCTCCGCCTTGTCGTCACTCGCCCCGCCTCAACTGCGTATCACCACGTCCACCCTGCCCTCGCCACCGCGCCACATTCGATACACCCGCCCCGCCGCGCCCTACTATGGCCCTGCAAACCTCTCCACGCCCGCTCTGCCCCGGCCGCCCGGCTCGCAACCCGCCCCGCCCGCCTCGCCCACCTCCGCCTTGGCCACCCAGCGCTTCGCACCTCCCCGCTGCTCGCACCTACGCCGCCCCTACCACTCCGCCCCACCCGCTCCTCCCCGCTCAGCCCCGCACCCTGCTCGCCAGCCGCTTGATGCACCGACCGGATTATTTGTGCTCCTATTGTGATGCGAGGGAATATTTATCGTCCGCAATCGGCGGACACGAGCGGAAATAGCGGCAATTGCCTGGAGTTGAATGTTCTCTACGAGACGGCGTGACTTCATTTTTTTCTCCCTACTCAATGGAATTGCCGTTGAAAATCCGGACGTCATTCTGCAGACTGATTTAGTGCTGGAATTCATGTCTTCTAATAAATTTTAAAATGCTTGAATTCTGGGAGCAAGCATGCTGTATGGGGTGTGGTAGTGAACGTTCATAACGCACATTCAAGTGAAAAATGACTTTTGCCCTGTACAACATGCTAAAAGTAGCAAAAATAACATTAAAAAATATTATCCAAAACGTTTGTGCGAAAATCGGATATAAACATACATAAGTAAATCACACCTCCGCTACGGGCTTCGTCTGCAGTCAGAAAATGACAGTTTTGTCGCGTCTCAAACCCGATAGATAGCGTGCTGTCTACAGTTTTCCTCTCTAGAATCCGTCTCACGTTTCACACGTCTCTGATCAGAATTACGAGTAAGTCTAATGCGAAGTTAAAAATGAAGTGAATTCAATAATTTGAAAATGTTTCATTATTTTATCATTCTCTGTTTGTCGAATTTTTTAAATATGTTTTCTATAGAATAGAATTGGATTAATTATAATATTATATTATTAACTATATTATTAGAAATATTATTTATTTGAATAAAATTAATTACAATTGGATAATATAGAATTGAATTACAAGTAGCTTGAAATCATTATGTTACTTGGTAGTTCGTATATAAACACACTTGACAAAACTTCATGCTCGATTAACTAAATGAAGGCGTTTCAAGACGGGATAAAGCTACTAAAATACTCAGTGGGGACAAAAAATCGTCTTCTCTTCATCGTTTTCTGAACTCATAAGAAATGGAATAAAAAACAGCAATGTATCATCAATCCAATTGAAAAACTTATTCATTTTCGCGGTTCTGAATTATTTATATTAAGATACACAAGCAAAACATGAAAGGCACAGATTCTCAAACTCAGAAATACAGTTAATATCTTTGTAAACCAATCATAATTAGAGTGGCTATTCTGAAGAAGAAGAAGAAGAAGAAGAAGAAGAAGAAGATGATGATGATGCTGAAGAAGAAGAAGAAAAAGAAGAAGAAGTGGTGGTGAAGAATAATCCCATAGAGCACTTTCATAAAGTGTAGTGAATCGATGATCCCCATAGTGATCTGAAGGAGATGTAGAGTGAAAAGTCGAGAGTTCTGCATTGATTGTTGGTATCAAATCATTCTTTACAAATGTAAGCAGTTCACCAACATCTGGATTTTGTCTAATTTATTGCCAATCCTTGGAGTTAGATTAAAATCTAGACTTCCCATTACAAAAGAATTAAAGTGAGGCTCATTCGAAACTTTACCATACAATTTGGAAAGAAAAGAGGAAGAATACACAGAAAAATCTCCGCAGGCGCGTTAATTGCGGGCAGTCGTGGACAACCTGAGAAAACTTCGACTACTCAGACAAGTCGAATCCAAATCGAATATGGCATATGCAGGTCTCCCGTTTGAATAGAATCAAGCTACTTGCATGGAGAAAGATCGTGATTCCCATCGACAAACCACCTCCCAACTGGAGAATGAAATTCAACTGCGTGCTTAAACCAAAAGTTGGAATGAATTTCTACTACAGGCCGATATTGGAAGCTTTGGATGAACTAGTATTAGGCATACGAATACATTTCATTCTTTTCTTGTTTGGATATTTTTTTTTCCTTTG